TCGCGCCTGCCCGCCGGGACGCCGGCTCCCCGCTCCCCGCTGCCGCGGCTCTCAGTCGGCCGCCGGCCCTCCTGGCGCCATCTTCCTCGACCGGTCCGGAGTTTCTCGCTAGCGCCTGCTCCTCCACCCCGACCTGCCCAGCCGGCTTCCCGGAGGCACCGCGGCCGGCTCGACCTTTACTCCCGCGGCGGCGCAGCTGCGGCCGAGCAGGACTTGCGGGTGGGCGGGGGCGAGGCCGCGCTCCGCCGCTCCCCGCTCAGGTATGGGGAGGAGGTGCGAGCGCCCCGGCGAGGGCGAGCCGGGGAGGGAAGACCGGCGCGTCGCCGCCACCGCCGCCGCTTTGAGCCCTCGGCACCCCCGCAACCACAGGGTCCCGGGGCCGGGGGCGGGGCCGGCGAGCAGCGGCGCCCTCTGCTGGACGCCGGGCGCAACCTGGCACAGGTGTGCGCCGGCCGACGGCACCTGCCGCACCACGCTGGTCTTCCACTCACGTTGTGCCCGGCCGAGGGTGGGCAAGGATTCGGGGGAGTCAGTAAACTTGTTAGAACCATAAATTAGAGCTGAGGCTATAGCGCAATGGAAGAGCCTTCGTCCCAGAAGCCCATGTCTCAGGTGCATCCCATTTAAGACCTTGCCAAAGGAATGCAAGATTCACCTGTGCTGTACTTAGCATCGGTGCCTGGGTACTGATAATCACGTGGGGAGCTTTGAGCATTCCTAAGAAGGAGCCCCATCCCCAGGAGTTCTGATTCGTGGTGAAGAACGGGACCTGGGTATCTAATTTTTTTAAAGCTCTTTTTTTCCCTCTTGTTTCCCCAGCCTCTCTATTCACACTTTCTCAATTTCCTTTTCTAGCTCTACGTCCTCTTCTTGGTTCCTGAATAAAAATGTGCCCCGTTTCCTAGAATTTATCTTTCTTCTCACTATGCCTCCTTTTAATCCCTCAGTATGACACTAACTCTCAAACTGAAGTCTAACCCTACTTTAGACCCATCTTTCCACCTGCCAGACAGGCACTGCTAGTAACCCTGCTAATAAGAACCAACCCCAACCCATTCATGCCACCCCCTCCCCTTGCTGGCTGGCTCCCATCACACCTGGCACAAATTAAAAGCCAGATTCATGTTGACTGAACTGAACCCTATTCTTGATGGGAACACTTAGCCTTGGCCAGAGCTTTGTGGATTCCTAATCTTTCAGTAAGATATGATCTTTCCCTCCTTTGAGTAACAATAATGACATCTTAAAACCTACTTTCTTTCAGGGACACGCCAAATATTTTACTCCTGTACTCTTGAGGAGCCTGAGAGCCTCCTTATAAAGGAGGCTCAGAACATTTCACAGATAAGCAAAGTAAGGTTCAAAGAGAAGGGGGTAAAAAACATTCTAGAGCTGCTATTCAGTTAGTCTCTAGAGTCTAAGCACTTGCTTTTATGCTAACAGTTATTGGACTTTATGATGTATGTCAGGATTAAGGGAACATCAAGGGATACTTACTCTGTTGGCCAGAGGTGATCAGTGAGTCTGAATGTTTAATAAACATCCCAGTTGTTGTAGGGCCACCTGGGCATAGAAACATTGTTCGATGTTCATGCTCATCCAAAGTAAGAGAAGACATCTGTTGAGAGTGACTTGGTCTTTCTCTTTATAGGTGGGGGTTTTCCATAGTATACAAATAAGGAAAACTTGGAACTTACAAAGCATTCACTCGCACCTCTCTTACTGTTTTATATATATACTTCTCTCACCACTCAGTTCAAAAGGTCTCAGAGACAGGGACCACACCTACTCTGCATTTGTACTAGTCTTAGAACAATGGCTTACACAAAATAGATCTGAATAAATAATAGGTGAATTGAGCTAAGTTTGAGTCAGGTCTAAAGGAAGTACTGCTCATGAATTGGTAGAAAAGAGGGGGGGAAAAAAAGGGATTGCCAAGCAGAAAAATCAGCATAATCAAAGAAAAAAGAGAGGAAGGAGTTCAACTAAGGCTTCTTATCAACTGGCAATTATGTGAAAGTACCTTATAAACTATAAATCAGTATCAGTGACAGTTAAAGTTATTTTCTTATATTCTCTCTGCCTTCAAAACAGACTCATACCTTCACCCTTTCCTTCTCTATTTATACTACACACACATTCATGGAAAATCACACAAAGCATTACTAGCACCACTGTCTCTGTCCTGGCGGAGGAGCAGGCAGCAGAGACAGGCGTGGAGAGGAGCACCCGTTGAAGTCTCTGCTACTGAGCCCTGAGCTGTGCTTCTCCCTCCCAACTTGTTTCTCCACTGAGTACTGGAACTGCTCACTTCCAGCCCTACAGCTCCCCTGTCTGCTTACACCTCTGTGCCTGCCTCTGCACCCTGCAGATGAAAAGCCTAGCCTCTTAGGCACTTTTAAATTGAGATCCATATCATCCAGGATTGGCTAGGTTCTGCAGCAGTAGCAAACTATCCCATAGCCTCAGTGCCTTAAACAAAAACAGTATTTCTTGCTTACATTTCACATCTACCATAAATTGGATGTAGCTCTGTTCCACACCACCTTTCCTCCAGGCATCCATCTGGAAGGTTTCCAGTATTATGGCAGAGAAAGATGACATAGTGAACTCTAGTTCCTAAAGCTTCTACTTGCAGAACCATTCAGTCACATGGTACTGGCCAGAACAAGAAATAAGGCTACCTGTGATTCCATCACCACCCTTGCCTGAGTCAAATAAATGAATTCTGGGTCTGAATGAAGAGCCACAAAACTGGAATATAAATTCCCTAAAGGTACAGAAGGAACTTTGCCAGCATGGAAAGACAGGGAGAAAGTGGATTTGTCTCTAAACAGACACTTGGGCATAGACTTGCTGACCCAGAGTCACAGTGGTTTTTTTGTTTTTGTTTTTGTTTTTTTGTTTTTTGTTTCTTTTGTACCGGGAATCAAACTCGAGACCTCATGCTTCCCAGGCAGAATCACAGTTTTAGATGAAAGTCACCTAGGTCAATGCGCAGTGGAAGAATGCTCAGCCTGGGATGGTGCTGTAGCACAGTTGTGATGTGCTTGCCTACCATAATGCTGGAGGGCCTGGATTCAATTCTGTAGCTTGACATAAACATACAGAAACAGAAAGAAAAAATAACGTGCACCTTGTGAAATGCATGATGACCCAGCCTCTGGTTGCAAACCACAGGGATCAGAGATCTCACTGTCATATGAGGCAGCTGCCATTATTATTGAACTTCTGGAGGTCCTCTTATCTTTAGGGGTCCCTGTTGTCATTTCAACCCTGAGTCAGCTTGTGATGCATTGTATTTCTCCTGCAGATTTTGAGTATTGGGATGGACCTTATGGATTATAACCAAGAAATGGAAATATGATTGAAATTATATTTTTTAACCACAAAAGGGGGAGTAATCATTAAAATTGTTTTCTCCAACAGGAGGTCATTAAATCACTGTGGTAGGCTGCCTGGGAATTGGCTGCTAATGATCTTTTTTACAGATTTAGTTTCTACCCCTATGTAACCTCTCCCCTTTATATGTGGGCTAGACTAAGTGATTTGTTTCTATCAGTGAAATACAACAAAGTGATGGGATGTCACTTACATGATTAAGTTATCAGAGACTGTGACTTTTGTCTTGCTGGGACTCTGGTGTCTGTATGTTTGTCCTGATGAGGAGTCCATGTGGAGAGGACCATATGACAAGAAGTGAGGGTGGCCTCAGCACAATAGCCCCTCAGGATCTGAATTTCCCTAGCAACTATGTGAGTGAGCTTGGATTGCCTCCAGATGAGCCCAGCAGCCCAGCGGACACTGTGTGTGTGTGTGTGTGCGTGTGTTACTGGCCATCGAACCCAGGGCTAAGGAGGTGCCCTACCACTGATCTGCATCCCACCCCCAAGCCAGCACTTCGGTGGCAGCCATGCAATACACCCTGATGCAGAGAGTCCAGGGAGCTGTGCCTGAATTAAAGACACTGTGAGATAATAAACTCCATGGCCCCCAGAAACTCTGAGATAATAAATGTGTGCTGTTTTAAGCCATTAAGTTTGAGGGTAATTTGTTACATGGCACTAAACAACTAACACGATCACAGACAAAAAGTGTTGTGATGGTCTGACTAGTAAGAACCTCATCTTAGCAGTTTCTGTCCTCTTCACTGCAGGTCGGCATGGCATGCTCCTGCCTGCTAAAGTAGCCAACGTCAGACTGAGCTTTGTTGTCCCCAGTTGACTTTCAGATCCTAAACCTTCGTGTGTATTCCTTCCTAAGTGAGTTTGCCAAAAAAGCAGGCCCGCAGGCACGGGAGGCTCATTTTCAGCTGGCCACTCCCACTGCCTTCCCTCACCGTGCCCAGGGTAGGCTGTCAGCCCTCCGGAACAGGAGAGTGGAGCTTTGCCGAGGGAGCCAAAGCTTCCAGGACCCCAAACAAAAGACCAGCGAGCAACTGGACGCTGAGAAAGCCAGTGACTCGAAAGAAGGGGCCTCACGTTCTTCTGCAGGCCACGTGGTTTCCAATTCTACGCTATCAGCAAAACTGAGAAAGGGCCTAATCCAGCGGTCAGCCGGCAAGGTATTACAAATAATCTTTTGATGGGTCGCTGCGATTTTTGGTAACACAGCAGGAATTCAAAGAGTTGAAGGCTACTGTTCTAACAAAATTTCTCTTCCCATCTATTTATCTATGTAAACAAGATTTCTCATCACTTCTATCTCTGGCCAAAATAGAAATAGATTTCTTTAAATTTGTACAATAATAACATTTGTGATAATAATTCAATTCAGAACAATTTCAATACTAAGACAACTGGAAAATTTTAAAATGTATTAATTCATATCCACATTTTTGTTATAGACCAATGAATTTCTAGTATGAAGGTGTAAGATAAAAATAAGAGAAAAAATAGAATGGAATTTTAGGCTCTAGGAGAAAAAGTGAGTATTTAAAGAATTTGTTTGTTGTTTTTAATGGGCAGTGGAAGTAAGAAATTGCTATGGCAATTAGAGTCCCTCGGGTTCATTTACACCATGACAAAGCAGTTTGATTTTAAGGATCTATTCTAAGGGAAATTACATCTTTTCCAACTACTGATACTAACATTTAAAAATGTAGTTGTTAGCTTTTAAATGTGTGGAGACATACACGGTTTTTCAAGATTCATTTTGGGGCTCTGAGAACAAGAAATTCTGAAGCCCCCAGGGTGGAGGACATCTATTTCCACAATCCCCAGCTTCGGAACTCATTAGGAAATCAGGATTCAAAATGATGTTAGCAACTCCGACCGTGGAACACTTATTAGCTCGCCAGTTTAGTCTTTGATCCCCTCCAGAGCCACACAGACTTCTTTTCGCCTTCT